ATACTATAGGCCTCTGTAAGGTGAAGTTTCTGGCAGGTTTTCTCATTTCATCGTAAAATACATAAAAAAACTTGTCTCAAAGTTTTTGTACAGATCTAAGTTAAGGATAGATACAAAAATCTTGAAAATTGTAAGAAATGAAAAAGTTTTTTTTTCAACCCCCATTTATACAAATTTAAAAACTTTTAAAAATTCCCTAAAATAAATCCCAAGTGTTATTGAAAAACCATAAAAGTTTTTTAAAACTTCCAAAGATGTCGAAAACTTTGAATACTTTTATAATTTAAAAAAAAACACCCGAAAACTTCTAGGAAATAACAAAAACTTTTTAGAAATCTTTAAAAACACCTCGAAAAACTTCAAGAAAATTCCAAAAACTCTCGAAAAACCAAAAACTTTTATCATCTTAATAACTCCAAAAACATCCGAAAAACTTCTAGAAAATTTCAAAAACATTTTCAGAAATCTCTTCCTCTAAAATCACCCCAAAAAACTTCTAGGAAATTACAAAAACATTGTCAGAAATCTCTCTAACTTTAAAAAAGCTATCAAAAATACCATAAACTTTTGTTAGATTTTTTAAATCTTGAATTTTTTGAAAAATATCAAAAACTTCGGAGAAATCACAAAATTAATAAATTTCGAAGTATTTTGGTCATCGATATAGTTTTGAGACGAGACGGAATTTCCGCTTCATATCGTCTCGAGACTTTACTGTTATAGGATCTCGTGTTATCTCGAACTAAGTATTGCATAAGTCTAGTTCGTTAACATATTTCTCAATATTAATTTGTTTCAGGGTGGGTAATTACGCGTGACGTTTGTGACTAAAACCCATGACGCCAAATTCAACATCCCATCAGTGATAAAAAAGACGTACTATCGTTATCTCGGGCCATGCATACAGCATACACGGAAGCGGTTTTACCCAGAATTGTCTCACTGTTGCATCGATTGTTTGCGTCGATGCACTTTTTTTCATCGTTTCATATCGGTAGCTCACTCATTAGGAGTTTTATAAATGACGAAACTCACACTTTTCATGGAATGCCCTCTGACTAAAACTCTGATCAAAATCACGCTACCGGATACTCGTCCACGAAAATTTCTAATTCGAAAAACTCTATTCGCAGTCACGCCTTAATATTGGCATTGCACAACACCTCGGTAAAAAGAATAAGCTGCTCTGCGATACCAAGATTCGCGGGGTGGGGGTATTAGAGCGTTAATGAGACGAGCCGGCCACTCTCTTGAAAACCGCGCGGGGCTTTGAAATGAAAAATATCCCCACGTCTCGTTCGAAATGTAGATCACCAATGTATGTGTGTGTGGATCTGTGTGCGAGTAAAAGAGACACAGTTATTCCGCTGCGGGGCGAGATTTGGACACAGCTGCTGCATCTGCCGAAACACGTGCTCAGGATAATAGAGCGGGGGCCGGCTCTCTCTCGAACCCAAGCTCATTGTCCGCTGGTATTACGGGGGGCCTTGCCCCCTCGTGTTGCATTATCGGCTCCGCGCAGTGCTCCTATTCATCGCGTGTACAGTTTCTCGTTTTGCTTTTCAAAGTCCGTCAACGCGATACCGTTTGGTTGTTATCGGCGCGATAGAATCTTCACGGCGCTTTAACCCTTTCTGATTGGATTTTCGAGCAGTTTTTGATTTTATACGATCACGCTTGTGGTCGATCGTCCGATTATTATAAGGAATTCTTCTTTAGAAAATTTATTTCAATGATTATAATTTGATAAATAAATTAGTAAGCATGAAAAAATGCACTTGAATATACCGATGAAGCACTGAAATAAAATACCATGGGAATCAGTAGACATTATTGTCACAGGTGTAAAAACAAAGCAATGAATACAGCACAAGTCAGATCGATAATATGTATGTACATTTTTATTTTTGAACATTTTGTTTTCTCTGCATTTCCCCTCATATATATATATGTATTTTTTATGATGACGATGTTACAACAATAACGTTCCTCGAAAAATGGCAAATCTCGAGTTTTGATCACACAATCGCTCGATCTCTCTCTCAACAATCAATTACCTAATCATCATATACATAATTTTTGATATTCATCGCACTATATATATATATATATTTATATTTATAACATCCGCTATACAATAAATCAATAGACACTTTTGCAATCCCGCTTTTTTTCCCTCGCATACTTTTACAATACACACAGAGATCTAATGATTCCCGAGACTCGAAAGAAAAGCCGTGGATCTTCTTTGCGCTCACACGGACACGATGACACTTTGCTTTCGAAAGAAGAAAAAAATAATGAAAGAAAGAAAGACGAGTATTCCAAATCTTCCCTCAACAACGAGCCAATAGATCAGATCGGGAGAATGAAAAATTAACGCGCATTTCGTACAAAATACCAGTGACGTGTATTCACGTCGATAGTCCTATTATCAATACACACGCCTCATAAATCACTCACCGCGTTCTCGAAGCCGCTGTCGAGTGAATTAACACTTTTCAGCGTAACAAACGCTTCCTTCAAAATTGAATTGCCAACAGTGCACGGGTCTTAATTAATAACCAACGGAACGACTTGTATTCTGTACACTCCACGTGGTCACACTCTTGGCGAGGTTTATTTCCAATAAATTTTTTTCCTTTTTTCTTTTTCAATCCGGAATCAAAGTGACACTCGTGTTTAAAAAAAATCTCATCTCTTAATCCATGATTAAATTTCCCCGTATCATTCGTCATTCAGCTCTGATCGTCCCTCCGCACACGTACGCACACTTGTTCCTTAAAACACAATGCAGCTCTCTTTGAGCACCCCACAAATGATCGACGAGTTAAAGATCCAGCTTTTCATTGAGCCCGAGAGAGACGCAACGAGATGGAAGTACAACGGCATATATATATATACTAAACTCGAAGCCGGTGTACTTTACTTTTTACGCTCTCGAGATGTAAAATTTTAAGCACGTGCGTGCCAATATACGTGTATAATATGTATGATAATGCTTATTACCTACATAACTTCAAATATCTTATCTATTCACACTAGGCTATCATTATACGAATCGTTAGATTTTTTTTTTTTTTTCCGGTATTCATTACATTTTTTATTCACTACGTATTATGTAATTGTCAGCTCTTTTGTGTGGTGCGTTATTTTTTTAAATTTAATTATCACACATAAATGCACGTGGGTTCGAGTTCCTGATACACGTAACACCCTTTAATTCTCGAATCGATTACAGGCCCATATTATACAAGCTTCCGGTCCTCATGCGGGGAATCAACAAGTGCCCAAGTGTTACCACTATAATATTGTATTATTTATTTGTTTTATTCATATAAAGTGATGCATGGAGATGAGCTTTTATGCATTGTGGAGTACAAGGACCAAAACAATTATTGACTGAGAGGGACAAAAATATAACTCAAAAGCCCTGTGCCGAAGGAACGGGATTATTTTGTTTGCACTGGTTATCTTGATGATTTTTAATGATTTAAAATGAAGCAAAGCACCTCCTTGTCCCTTTTTATCTCCTGACACTGAGTTGTGAATTATTCAGAGCAAAGCTGAGTCGTATCCTTGTTTCTCACAGGTGATGAAACAAAAAAGCAATCGGATAGTTTTTTCTTAGTATCGACGTTAATTCGATTGAGCTTTCAAGTTCAACGCCAGCGGCATTTTTCATCGCATTAACCATGAACGCATTTCTTGATCGAATGCATTGAAACCGAGTTCCGCCTGTGGGTTAACCAAGTGCGCGTTAAAGCACGCAATTTATTGACTATCATAAAAAGGGGCGATAACCCCTCGCGTTTCATCACAAAATCGAGAGTAAAAACAATACGGGAAAAACGAGGGAGAGAGGAGCGCGGTGAGGGAGAACTCGGGAAAAAAGAGAGATAAGCAGAAACGAAAAGGAGGGGTAAAGTGACTTTAGAGCGTCCTCGGCGTGACTTGTGGGCGCATGCACGCCTTGCATTTTTACGCGCCCGCAAAGTTTGTACAGGTGAACCGCGGCTCCTCGATCACTCGGTTGGAATTAAAAAATTGGAATCGAGAGCTCGAAAAATTGGCCTCGGCCAAGGGGGGTCAAGGACGAGGCGTGACTAACTTTTTTGTTTTTTTCCAATTTTTCCTCCATCTCTCCAACCGAACGATTTGCCTTCGTTGTTCGCATTTTTATACCTCTCCTGCACTGTCCCGAGGATTTTCCATTTTGCGTGTCGCATACATGTGGAAAAAGCTCTTTCACACTTATATTCGTATAGGGTGATTAGTTATCTAAAAATCTCAAGATTGATTTTTATTTTTCTTTTTAAATCCATTTATTTACATAAAAAATTGTTGTTTTTTTATATATGTGTATAATATATCAAGTATCTTTATTATTTAACGCGAAAACAGTCGACTACGAACGCACACCGTCGCTTCGTAAAGATTTTTTACACCTTGGGATGATAATCCACTGCATCGTTCGCTCGCTCGGTTAACCAATTTACAACCGCATCTGTCGATGATGAGAGTTAAATTAAATTTAAAAAAAAGAAAAATCGTAGAAAAAAAAAAAAAAGACTCGCACACCCATATGTATGTAACATATATATATATATATATATTATATAATACACGCAGACACTAACATTGCACATGTACACGCACACGCACAAACTCACTCCATCAACGGCGATTAGTGAACGGTATCAACAGTGCGACTATGTACTATAATATACAGACTATATGTATAACGCGACCGTATGATTTTATTTACTCGACCGCGGGGAGCAACGGCCCGCGGTTTAGTTCCATTCCTTGGAGAAGTCTTCGTTGGCAGGAATCCACTCCTGTTTGACGTAGACGAGGCTCGGATCGTAGGCATTGTTGCTCGTGGCGGGGCCACTCGTGGTAACAGCTATTTGGTGCTGTTGTTGTTGTTGCTGCTGATGAGAAGACGACACCGTTGATTCAAGGTCCCGGCTGTGGGGCCTTGAATTTCGGTACTCTCAGTACTTGTGCAACGTTATGGGCAGATTGCCGCTGGTCTGGATCGCGTTGCAGTCCTGGTAGTAGCGGTGCGGGTGGTACAAGGGTGGCGACGACGCTGCCCCCGAGGACAACGATGTGGGAGGACTAGACCTGCAATCGGGTAAAATGGTGATTTTTTCCTCTTTAGTACATACTTTCATCGAGAAAAATTGTAGGGGGTGGTCGGACAAGGGATGAAAGCGCGAATGCAAAGCTTGTGGAAACGTACTTGCAACACGGATTTATAAAAAAATTTTTTTGGTGAAAAAAAATCATGACTGACGTTTGGGCGGCTGATGGGGTGCTACAATTTTCATTCCGGCTGATTGCGTCACATTGCCGTCTATATTATCAGTTTTTTGGAATAAAAACAAATGTAAAAGTTGAATAATTTTTTTTCAAGTTTATTGTTCAACCGTTTCATAATAAATAAGCACGAATCTTGGGTTACGATGAAAACATTTAATGCTGTAAAATGTTGCAATAATGTTTTATTGGAAAATAAGCTTCCAACTTGTAATGTATAAAGACAACCAAAGCGATTTGATTGAAAAACAAATTGACAGGAACCAAACAAACAACCTCGGCTACGTGATATTGTTTGAAAAAATCGATGTATTGTTATTTTGTCGATTGATAAAATTATCACATCCGGCAAAAATTTACTTTTAAAACGGTAATAATTTTATTTCATTAATACAATATCCGAGTACAGTCAAAAATATTATCCTATTATACAAATAAAACGTACAGCCAAAACACGACGATCGAAAAAAATATTTTTCCAAGTCTTGTTTTTAAAAGTCTTATTATTCCTCCATCAAGGCGTGACTTAATATTTTTACGAATTATTGTCTGGGTCATCTTCCCCTTCACTGCCACCTGAACATCCCTCCCATCGCCCATCAGAAACAACGAAAACGGATCACACAAACAAGCAATAAAAAGTTCATCCAACTCATGTTTTTTTTTTTTTTTTTTTTTTTTTTTTTTTTTTTCTAAGAAATCGACAAACAGACGATTACAATCTTCCGTCGTCGGGATCGTTTTTCGCGACAGCGCTAAATATCATCGGCTTCAAGTCCAAAGGTTCCAGCCGTATGATAGACGAGAATACGTTAACGCTCGTATCTCGGGAAGGGGGCAAAAAAATATTGCGACCACATGGCTGCGACGCTAACGGCAGGCGGCATCGTCTTCCAACTCGAGCCCAACGACGGGGAGGACGTTTTAAGACCGGCAATTTCACGGCTTCGCGCCTCATTCGATTACCCTCGTAATTTGGCCGCGCGACGCCTATTTTACGGCTCCGGTGTTCTCAAAAATTTATTCGGATGTTCGCGGATTTGTCGCTCGGTGATTTGCAAATTTTGTGGTTTTTTTTTTTTCTTTTTCTTTTTTTAATTTCGAAGATGATTGACGCAAACAAACAAGAGAGCCGCGTAATCAGTTGGAAGGGCGTGACGCGTAAAATGCATTTTTTTTTATCTGTCGCGCGTGAGCATTACTTATGCCTGCGTAATTAAACTTTGGATTGGGCGATTCTCTGTTTTTCCACCACAGTGACGCATTTATTTGACTCATCGCGATCGATATTACTTTTCCACGGATGGTGCGTCTGTGCTTTGTCGTAGTTTGTAGCAAACAACGAACATATTTTTATTTGTAACATTAATGTTAAACTTTTTCATATTAAAAAAGAAAAATTTATTAGTGTAAAGGAATATCACGCGTTCTCAACGCAATGTCCGACGATTGGAATTAATGAATGCCATTAACACTGATAAGCGCTCACACCTAATTAGTCAATCTTACGCGAGATTACAATGCTCGATGCTACGTCATAATCTTATACATTTCCGCAAACATTGCATTTCCTAATAAATTGATTTCAATATGTTCTTATTAAAAAAATATTTCGGCTGTAATGAATTATCTTTGACGCATGATGAAGCGAAAAATGATTCCGTCAATCTAGTAGAACAGGCATGCCAAGCAAGTTGTAGGAATCTCTTTCTTAAAACAATGCCAAGACTTGTTTGCTTCTCACAAATATAGTAAAAGAACTTCATGAAACGTCATTGAAACACGTAACCTCCAAAGTATCAAAAACTGAACCGCATACTTTATACATCTTTTTTTCTCTGAACAGATGTTTTTATTGCATTTTGTGACATAATCCTAATTTTAATATAACTAATAAGCCATCAACCCTTATTTTCTTCAATGCGATCCAAAAAGTCAAAACATGACATAAAAAAGTCGAAACAAACCTGTACATCTGACAGCTGGGCGATTGCGTCTCCTGGTACATGGCCGCGGCATCGGGACTGGCCGCCTCCTGGTACCATTGGGCGTGTCCAATGCCGTTGTGACCACTCCTGGGCACTGTGTTATAGGCATCCGGATGATCAGTCATGAGATAGCCAGGCGGGCAGTAGGCGCTGTACATGTTGGTCGTGGAGTTGGGCGATAAATTGGAGGGTCTCGCGATGCTACTGGTTGTAACGTGTCCGTAGGCACCTGAGGAAGCCATCATCGCAGCCACGGCGGCCGTTGTGCTCGTGGTACTGGCGGTCGTGGTCGCTGCCGCCGCAGCCACGGGTGTGGACAGGTCTCGGCTGGAGCTACCGACGGCCGAGACGACGCTACTCATCGAAGAGACCTCCGGTCGCGAGGTCATGATCCCTGGGTGCTGTTGCTGCTGTGCTATGCTGTGACTTTGGTGGTGGTGCTGTTGATGGCTACTGTCGCGACTTAGTTGGCTGCTCATCAGCTGGCTGGAACCGGTGTCGCGGTTGTTAGTCATGAGGGCATCGACGCTAAAACTCGTCGGGTCTAGGCCGGCCATTGCGACATCTTGAATCGTGGACTGGTGATGTGGTTGCTGTTGGTGATGCGTACTATTCTGGTGACTTGGCACCAACGAGCTCTGGATGACACTCTGGGTACCGCTGACCGACGACTTGTTGTCCTGGATAGGGCTGTGATGGTCGTGGTACTTGCTGCCAATCATACAGTGAACGGCCGAGTTGGGATCATTCATTGGTTCCCGTTTAGGTTTGCAGTGACCACTTTGATTGAGGAGTTGCTTTTTACTGCTGGAACTTGTGAGATCATTGCTGGACTGGAGTCCCACATTCAGACTGGACTTGGTGTCTTCCGTTCGCTGATGCTTAGTCTGAAGAAGTCCCTGGCGTTTGAGCGCCTCCTCCTTTTCCTTAAGGGCATCCTGCTTCTTAAAGCGCCTCCTACGTCTCAGGTAGGAGCCATTGTCAAACATGTTGTAACTGTCGGGGTCAAGACACCAGAAGCTTCCTTTGCCGGGTTTCTTGTCATCTCGCGGAACTTTCACGAAACACTCGTTAAGACTCAAATTGTGCCTAATGGAGTTCTGCCAGCCTTGTTTGTTTTCCCGGTAATAGGGGAACCGTTCCATTATGAAATTATAAATTCCGTTCAGCGTGATCTTCTTATCCGGTGCATTTTGAATGGCCATGGTGATAAGCGCGATGTACGAGTACGGTGGCTTGACCATGTCCTTGCCCGGATGGTGCATGTGCTGTTGAGCGAGGCCCGTCACGGGGTAACCCGCAGGACTCGCGTAGCCACTATAACAGTACTGAGGCTCGTAGTAACCCGGCGCAGCCCCCACGCTAGGGTAGGACGTGGCGCCCATGCTCATGGGAACCGTAGTCGGGCGCCTATAATAGGCATTTTGTTCGCTGAAGAACGTGTGCATTTTGCTTTCGATTGTGCGCAAATCGTTTATCACAGCTGTCGATGACGAAGATGGTGATAAGGTGGGTGGAGATACCTTGGTGGGATAGTGCGTCAGATGGTTGTCGTAGACGAACAGCTCACCACCCTTGGGACAGGACTTAGGGCAGGACAGGTCGTCAAACGTGTTGTTATTGTTAATGTTGTTGACTAGCATGCCTGTGCCTTTGCATAGTCAATAAATTATAACGTTCTCAATCACCGAGTAGTGTTATCCACTAACGAAACACAAAAAATCACATACCAAACGGACACTCGCGATAGTTTCAACGAATATCTACTGCACGTCACCACAATGCCTTAGTGCAAAGGCTGGGCTACGATTCCTGGTAATGGTGTGCGATCGCAGGTACCACTTTTATTATAACTGGTAACAGCAATAACATCTGGGCTTTCCCTCCCTCTCTCTCGCTTGACACTTCCACCAATGATAACACAGTGAGTTGAACTACACAGGTAGTTATACAGGTGAGCTGCAGACAAGGTGTGCAGTGCAACTGTCCACGATGCAGAAACAACGCAACGGCTGCAGTGGCGCGCGCGTGCTTGTGCGTGCACTTACGGACCGAAACTGCTGCTGGCAGTCTCTGCAGAGAATCCCAACACCTCTTCCCTCGAACCGTCTATCTCACTTTTCGATGAGTGTTAGTGTTTCCCTTTCTCTCTCTCGCTCTCGTGCCAAATATGTTAAACGCCGTCTGCTCTCTGAAAACGCAGCGCGGGCCATGCGCGGGCGTACCCTATCATCTCCATCTCTGTCCCTTGCTTTTTCCCTCTCTCTTGATACTTCAGTAGAGGGTATGATGTACAATTCTCCAGTTATCCCGCATAGTAGAACGGTGTAGTACCCACCTACGGAAGACCGGTAGAAAGGGTCTGGTTGCTGCGATTGGAGGGTAGAGTTGAGGACGGGGCATCGAGCAGAAGCGACAGCCAATGCGAGAGAGCGGCACTAGCTGGGGTCGGATGCTTGCCGAACGGAGAAAAGGCCGGGTTCTACGGACACACCCTCTACGCACTCTGCTTCGGTACCGTGTACGCGATGCGGTATGTATGGTGACGTACACGTATACGCGTGGGTGAGATGGTAAAGGATGAAGAGATGTACCACGGTATAAAGGAGCGAAAGAGACGAGCGAAAAACGATCGACTTTGGCAGTGTAGCTGCAGCATAGAGTTTTTTGAATGGAGCGTTTCATCGCGAGGGTGGGAGATGGAGAGGAATACTAATGTGCGTTTTGGAGCCCAAAAAAGGAGATGACGGATTCCACCTTTTACTCTTTATCTTTCTTTTTGTCTTCAACTTGATTTATTTTTTAATTCCACTTCGTTTAGCATACTCCATGTCTATGGGTCTTGGGTTGCTGCGAATTTTACTTGCAAGAAAATAGAAAGGTGTGCCGATACGCTGATTCACTTATACACATTGCCCACAATGGTGGGGATAATGTTGGAAATAAAATCTGAATGACTTTTCAGACTCAATATGTGAGGCAACAGATTTGTAGACGAAATTGAGTTTTTCACGATTACATCGGGAAGCAGGGAAAATATAATAGATAAATCTCACTAAAGGATGACCCAGTTCCCATCCCATCAGTTAAACATCCCTCTTACTTTACTTATCTAATTTTAGATACCATCTTGGCTTCAGTATAATCAGCTCTATCACAGTCAAATTTCATGCGAACAATGTTTCTTATCAAACGACTTATAATTCTAAATGATTGGTATGAAGTAGTTTTATGAAACCATCGACTGTGACTTATTTTAATAGGGAATTTTCGCGAAAAAATGTACAGCAATGGTTCACTAAAGTGCACGAAACCACCGACAAAGTACAATGATAAAAAAAGTGTCGATGATACAAAAGGCTCATCAAAGGGACTTTTTGGTTAGCTGGACAACCCTTACTATTGACGAGAGAAGAGAGGCAAGAAAAGTAGATAACCAAAGACATGGTTATACAGGAGGAATAGCAGGGCATTTGTAAGACAGAGAAACGCTTTTATAGAGTAAAGGATAGAAAAAAGTGGGGAGGTAACCCCACGTATAAACGCGAAGAAGAAGAGAAAGAAAAAGGATAGAAAGAGGAGAGTTAAGTGGCAGGAGAGGGAGGAGATTCAATTTAGCGTCTGTTTTCCCAAGGGTGCGACTCCCGGCTTGCGAAAACACTCGAGGACACCTTCATCTTGGCCTCGAGTCCTTCTCGTTCGTCTATCTCTGCGTAACCCTCCGGGAAAGCCGTCTGTCTTCCCCTCGTCTTCAACAAGAGCCTCGAGAATTCCTGTGTACTGGCTGCTGCCACTTCTTTGCCTCATCCTCCTCCTTCTTCCCCCTCACTTTGATGAGATACACGTACGGGAGCCTTTGTTTGGATAGTTCGTCCATCTCGGACAAAGTAATCGCCTAATCATCCTCTTGGCAGCTCGAACGAGCACACGCGCGTGCGCATGATATACTCCTTCTTGATGACGACGGCCAATCAACTTGTATACGATTGGTCGATGAGTGGAGAACATTTTTTAGCTTTTTTCTATTCCTTTTTTTTCTCCGCTTCATACATTAGAAATACATTTTGTAACTAGGGTTAAAACGATCTGCAAGTGAAGTACAATTTTTCATAAATAACCGATGTTCCAGCGTGGAACAATATCTCGAATCAAAGTGTCCTCATTGCGAGATCAAAGCTCTTTTAAAACATAACTACGATATTTATGACTTGAAATAATTAGTCAAACCAACCCCTTAATTTTAACAAAATTATTCACCAACTCGTACAAAATTTTCCTGTACCACTCTCTCCTTTTTCCCCTTACAGTATTTTTAAAAAAGTATCGACTGCTTTAACGAGCCTGAGCCCTCCACTTTGCAGCAAAATCATGAATATTCATAGCTCGAAGCTCGCAGCAAGTGCAACAAAAGACGTCGACGACGTAAAATCGATGATCGCGACACGGAGAGAACCCCCCCCCCTTTTATCCGCACTGCAACAATAACTTTGAGGGAAGATAGACGCGTACCTAATTTTCATTTAAATGGCGCTACCTAGTTAGAAGTCGCTCGCTCAATTTGTGTTTCAATTTGCGGCCCACGCGGAGAAGAGCCGCGGGCGAAGACAACGTCTGCTCGAGACGATGTGCTTGCATTACGACGTTTGAAGTTTTGGCTCCGAGTTTAATTATCTTTTGTACTGACTTTAGGTTTCGGGGTGGAGAGAAGGTCAACTGCGATACTCGAGGTGCGCCCTGTTTCATTTCTCTTTCTTTTTTCTCTCTGGCAGTAAGGCGTTCATAAATTGGTGCGTACATTAGGTACAGCTAGCGGTGTTTAGTCTGTTCGTGCTAGACTGGACTGAACAAACAGCCGGTTGATTAGGACGTTTTTCCTTCCTACCTCGTTTACTCGTTTACGCGTGTGTGTGTACGTGATAAAAATTGCATGGGAAATACGCTTATTTATGAATTATAACTGTTTACAACATGTCTGTCTTTGGATTTTCGAGTCACAGGTGCATCAGATCACATGGTTTTACATCAGTAGTTACGTTCTACAATATTTAGAGAAGAAAAAAAAAAGAGAGATCAAATTCAGGTTTACAGGGCGCGCATTCATCACAAACAGAGGGAAAAATTTACGGGTGCATAAGAAACACTGAAACGGTAGCTCCCATAAAACCCAACCCCGTGTGAGAGCCGGTTCTTTGAGAGCGGCCGAAAAAGCCGAAAAAGTGTGTTTTAAAATTTTCGCTACCGCCATGGACCTCGAAAAATAAACGCCTCCCGAGAGTTGCCTTGACCCAGCCGCACGCTCGTGAAGCATAGGGATAAGAAACGCACGCCTATAGTGAGGTATACTCTTTCCTAAGAACAATAAACGCTTCTGTGCTCTCCACTCGACTCATCCTCGATGTAAGGCTATATAGGTTGTAACTGTGTATCACGTATAAGAAAGATTAAGAGTGAAGGATCTGCGGCCGTCGTGTTTGTATCTATCGGGGTAGCTCGTGAGTTGTTACCTCAGGTCGTTTCCTGCTCGGTAGAAGGGAAGGAGATAATATTGTGCACTGAAGCGGAAAAAAGTTAAATATTGATGACAGTGGCTCTCTATGGCGTAATTTTTTTTGTTTAATTTGCTTACGATACGTATTGCGCATAATTTTACAGCGTTGCGAAAGAAAAAAAGTACTAGTTCTATCTAACTCGACTGATCATATTTAAAGAATCTGGGCTGACTAAACCCAAATATTTCGTCACAATTTTTAAGGGAAGAAACCCCATTGGAATAAATAATTACTAATGTAGTTCTCCAGAATGAAAAAAAAGTTTGTTGTTTGGCTGTGTTATATTATTAGTTACTGCGACCATATTCCAGTTTTCAACTCTATTATTCCTAACTAACCCCAACTAACCCCAAATAACCCTTATAAAACCCCTTTTTTTCCAGCCTCACCTTCTTTTCGACCTTGCAACTAACCTTGCCTCTCGCACGCCCAGGGAACCTATCCTTGGATCACCCCAAGTGCAAAACTAGCCACGAGACTCAAGAACCAAACTGGCTAATTATAATTTCATTGTATGCAATAGATTCGACAGGTTGACATCATTTAAGTCATTGATAGCTTTGTGGTTAGCATGTTTCTTAGTCTGACAGACTTAAGGCAATAGCGAGTTTGGTTCCCGTCCAAAATTTTTCAATGGTTTTAGTCAGTCGTCTCACTTGTACTATACACTAGCCGGAACTCCAGCACTACCTACACGGCAGTTTCGTAAACATAAAGATGTCTTTTAAAAAACCACCTTTTTCCCCTAAAAAAAAAAATTCTTTCCATTAAACACGAAGCAAAGCAGAGTGCGCTTAAAACGATCACTGTGCCCTCAAAATAATACCCTGTATTGGATTGGTGTCTGAGTCTTTTTGAAGGGAACTTGCTCTATGGGGCCCTGTATGAAAAACTCACGTATGGGGGGGGGGGGAAGCGGAGATAAAAATGGGCACACAAGGAATCGAACACAATAAAAAATATCAAATAATTCTATTGTATGCGTTGTTGATTAATAATGAGTCAAAGAGTCATCAACGAATGTATGTATTGTGGAGAAATTTCTTTTGTTCGGATTTACAAG